ATTTACCAGCTTTATGACCTTGGGCAATTTATGCAGTCTCTCTGGGGCTATTTCCTCATCTGTAAAATAAGCATAATACCTCATGGTTTGGTGAAGGAATTAAATGAGATAACATTAATACCAGGCACATAGGACTAGTACATAGTTGTAGGATGAAATGTATATACTCCACTTTAATAATGCAAAATTTGGGTAACACCATGGCGTACAATTAAATCAGTCCAGAAATCTGGCAGCATTCCTAAGACTGAAATGTTGTCTGTTGACAGTTGACTCTAACACAAATGTACTTACATGTGAGGGCCAGTCGGGGAGCCCACTGGCATGGATGATCCCAAGCAGTTGTGTGTCTGCCATGTACCTGTGTTTGGCCACCCTGTATATGTGTGCAAACACCCCTATCTGTGTCACCTCTGTTTATCATCTGTGCCCTGTCATTTTTTTGCCAGTCAGAGCATCTTTGACTGTGACAGAGCTGTCCAGGAACACAGGGGATCAGTGGGAGTAACCTTGGGAGCCTTCTGGGTGCCCAGGAATCTGGCTTCCATTTGGGGACTCTGTTAGTAACCATACGGCATGGAAGAGATGGGCTGGGTGCCAGAAAGCGGAAGGTAGGAATGCAGGCTAGTGGCTTGCAGATAGTTTTGAGTGGGTTTCATTTAGAGTCTTCTCATGTTTCTTGCTGCAGGAATTTCCTCACATGGCCGCTGAAGAAGTGACCATTACAGTTCGCCTCATTCGTTCATTTGAGCATCGCAATTTCAAACCTGTAGTGTATCATGGCGTTAATTTGGATCAAACTGTAAAGGAATTTATAGGATTTCTAAAGCAAGGTATGAGACGTTATACTCATTTTGTTTTGTTAAGTATTTAAAAAAAAAAAAGTTGACTATGGCATTAATAATAATCTTTCAAAATACAAAAGTTCTTTGAAAGATGCTAATCTAGGTGCTAAGCCAGTGCTAGGCTAGTTCCTTGGCATCTGCAGAAGTGCCTCCCCCAAGGGAGTGTGCCCTCATCAGGGTTTGCTACCATCATGCTTGGCTTCTGCTGCTGCTTTTCTTTTTTTTTAATTAAAATATAAAAAGTAAGGTCTAGGTTTGCTTGTAGTGGGCTTATGTATTTGGAAGTTGATTAACAAGGGAGTGTAGTGTAGCTAATTGTATTGCCCAGCTGAGCATATAGGACGCTTCCTGGAGAGTGTGGCAGGAAGGTCGCAGAGACCCATACAGCCAGGAAACCATTGTGGTCACAGAAGCAACCACCAGACTAGTGGT